TGTATGGTGATTTATGACTTGTACGCAAAATTTGGCATCATTTCGAGTTGTCTAAGTATGATTCGACGTGTTCGGAGCTAGTTGAAGAAGTTTGAATTTCATAAGTTGATTAATTTGGTTTTGGGGTGCGAATCTTAGTTTCGATGTTGTTTTATGTGTTCTGAGGGTTCGATCAGGTGCATATTATGTTAATGGACTTGTTGGTGCAATTGTATGGGGTCCCGGGTGGCTCGGGTGAGTTTCGGACCACCCGCAGCTAAGTTCAAATTTCTGCAATTTGTTGTTCTGGTTTCCTTCTTCACGAATGCAGAGAAGGCCTTGCATTCGCGATGAATGAATTGGGCTGGGGAAATTTTGTTCTTCGTGTTCGCGAAAGGTGCTCGCGATCGCAATGCCTTGGGCCACTGGTCATCGTGTTCGCATACGTGGGTTCGCGTTCCCTTAGGGTAAGGCCAGCTGGGGAGGGGGTCAGGTTGTTGGCATTCGCGTTCGCGAAGAGGCTCACGCGTTCGCGTAGGGTAGGTCAGGCAAACCTTCGCATTTGCGAGGGTTGCTTTGCGTTCGGGAAGTGCATTTTTTTAGATCCTTCGTTGTTTTGCCTACGCGATCGCGGGGGTATTGTCGCCATCGCGAAGAAGGATTCACTAGGAAGTATCTTGATTAAAAGGGGACTTAGGCATATTTTGTTCATTTATCTCAACTTGTGGCCGATTACAGAGCTCTTTGGAGAGGGTTTTCACCTACCACCTTTAGGTAAGTAATCTCTATATAATGTGAGTTTAATACATAGATTATGGGTAGATTAAACATGTAAATTATGGAAATTTTAGGATTTTGCTGAAAAACCTAGGTTTTGGTAAAAATGGGGTTTGACCACAAAAATGATTATGGAATTGAGTATAAATTATATATTTATGCTCATGAGGTTATGGGTAACATTTATTTACAAAAATTACCGGAATCCGGGCACGTGGGCGGGGTGAATTTTAGAAACCTTTCGAATTGGGTGGGGTAATTACTCTAATAGTTAAATTATAAACTTTTGAACATATATTTGAGGCTATTAATGTGATTTTTGGACCGGGAAGAGGACTTGGAAACGAGGTAAGTCTCTTGTATAACCTTGTACAAAGGAAATTATCCCGGTAGGTATTTTAAATTGTTAATTGCTAATAATTGCGGGTTCTACATACGCCCGATGTGGCGAGAGTCCGTACGTAGCTAAAATCATGCTTATGTCCGAGTAGACTTAGGACTTTTTCATATAATACCTGTATTACTTGAACCCAACTTGCTAGTTTAATTACTTGAATTTATAATTGAAATTGAATATGGGATTTTATGAGATCGAGCTTCATTACCTTGAGTTTTGACAGAATACTTGATTTTTAATGAAAATTATGCCTTCTTTGAGTATTAATCCTGTGTAGTAGTCGTTGATCAGAGTTTGTAGAGTTCCTCCATTTCCTGTGGATCGGGCCGAACGCCTCGGCAGTATATTTAGATGCATGTATGGTTCGTGTCGGTCTATCCTCGGCAGTGTACACACTATTCTGGATCGGGTTGTACGAGCATGGCATGAATCGTGCGTGATATGCTAGGAGTCTGAATATACTTGATATTTCTTTCTTGCTGGCTCTTATGTGTTAAAGTTTGGCATGTGATAATTGGAAATTTTAAATGGATAATATGTAAACGGATCATTATTTATCGTTTCTTATTCCATTATTATTGTTGTATTTCATGCCTATTTATAATTCTTGTACTTTATTTATTGACCTCTAGTATGTGTCGATGTCGACTCCTCGTCACTACTTCTTCGAAGTTAGACTAGATAATTATTGGGTACACGTTGTTTACGTACTCACGCTACACTTCTGCACAAATTGTGCAAGCACTAAAGCAGGTACATTTGGTGTCCGTACAGGCACGCATCCGCATTACCCGGAGACCTAGTGGTGAGATGTTTTCCATGATCCGTTCTACAGCAGTCGGAGCCTCCTCTTGTTGTATTTATTATTTTTATCTATTTTGCTCCATACAGTAGTTGTAGGGATATTTGTATCTTCTACTAGATTGCTCATGCACTTGTGACACCGGATTTTAGGAGTTACTAGTAGATATTTATTATCTTGTCTATTAATATAACCATTTCACTCGTATGTTTCATTTTATGTATCACATAACCATGGTTATCCATTCTTGGTTTCTTTGGTAAATAAAAATTCATGGCTTTAAAATAAATAAAATGAATAACTAAATGGATAGTTCGTTGTTGGCTTGCCTAACGGCGACGTTGAGCGCCATCACGACCTATGGTGGGAATTGGGTCGTGACAGTCCCCCTTGCTAAACTTCCTTCTATGCGATCGGGAGACTAAGCTCCGCGATCGTGCTCCAAGGCCTGACACCAGAAAACCAGCAATCTCAACTTAGCTCAAAATGGTCTGAAACTCATCTGAGCCTCTCGGGCTCCCATCCAATCATCCTAATAAGTTCATATACCTAATCCAAACTTATCCAAAGTCTCAAAAAATCACAAACAACATCAAAGTCAAGAATCGCGTATTAAACCAAAAATCCTCAAACTTTTTTAAGTTCAAATAATTAACTTTCAACTAGAAGCGCTGAATCAATATTGGGTCACCCGAGGCCCGGACAAACATATGTATTAGTCCAAAATTAATATACGAACTTATTGGACCCTCAAACTACCAATCTGAAGCCGTATACCCAAAAGTAAAACTTTGGTCAACTCTTCCTAGGTCAAATCTCAAATTATAAACTAAGTGTTCCTAAACATTCCGAATCTCCTGGAAACAAAACCATTCATCCTCCCAAGTCATAAATATCATACCTCGACCTTAGGAAGCGGGACCGGCGCTCAATCGAGGAAACCTAATCAAGCCAGCCTACTCGGTGTCTACTGATGTGCCGTAGAATTTCGGCACTTTTGATACCAATTACATAGACTTTAGCTCGTTTTTCAATGCATTTTTAGTTAATTCTTATGAAGTTTTGGTGTTCTGTAGTGCATAAGACTTGAAGACCCAAAAACATGGAAATGAAGTCAAAAATGCCACAAAAGGGTAAGAATGTTGCAAGTATGCGATCGCAGAAGTAATATGCGATCACATACTCACCGCAAACTGAAGCAGATTTTTGGTCAACTGAAGAGAAGAATGTGCGGTCCATTATGTGGTCGCATAACACTTACGCAATCGCCTAATGACCACATAATTGCAACTGAAGAATCTGTGTAGCACTTCTGCGATGGAAAATGCGGTCGCATAACTGATATGCGGACCGCATAATGGAAATGCGGTGGAAATCTGGGCTTGAATATCTGAAATTCTGCGATGCAATTGTCAACTATGCGGACCGCATACATGGTCTGCGACCATTATGCGGTCACAGAAGTTCTCTGTTAGGGCATTTTTGTCAAATCTTGACCCAGACTTTTAGTCCACTATAAATAGATTTACTAGGGTTTTTGTGGGGTATTGAGTCAGAAAAAAAGGCTACTTTTAGAGCATTGAATGCACCATTGTTTTGGAGCTTTTTAAAGAAAGAATCTTGTATCTTTGTAAGCTTTATGACTTCATTTATTGCTTTGTTCTTGGATTCTAGTATGAGTAGCTAGTTTTAACTACTAAGGTTGTGGACCCTAAATGGGTGTAATGTTAATAGGTGTTTACCATTGAATATATGTATAATGGTTGGTTGATATTTATTCAGTTCTTATGCTTCATGTATTGTTAGTGGTTGAAAACGTTAACTAATTCCATTTCACTCTATCTTTACTTGGAAAAGTGGGTTAAGGTTTGGTAGAATTGAATATCAAAAACTCAAGGCTTTAAACCTTGTTTAATAGAATCGCCTAGGAATAAGTGAGTTCTATTTGGCATAAATTGGTTATTTTTAATTGCAACTCTTTTATATTTGGGAAAATCTTAAAGAGAAGGTATTACCAAACTATTGGGAAATATTGGGTAGTCACTTAGAGACCATTTGCATATCAACGAACTTTCCATTAGAAATATAGCATGTTAACACCGATAGCATTACATTCCATCGATGGTTACACAACCTTGGTTTCCTTAATCAAATTGAATACATTCTCATAATACAATCGTCTTCTTTACTACACATAATTGCAACACCATTTTCAAGCTAACATTTATAGAATTACGACCTAAGTCAAGTTGCACACTATTCAAGTAATCTTTTCACACCTATTCCCTGTGGGATTCGACGCCATTCTAGTTGGGTTATTATATTTGACATCGACCGCTTTACACCATTTATTTAGGTGTAATTTGAGCTTATCAAATTTTGGCGCCGTTGCCGGGGAATACGGTTTTGAAATTACTATTTAGTGTGTGCTTTACTTTACGTCTTTTTCTATTCCATCACACTTTGTTTGGTGTGCTAGGTAAACATGGCCGAGTATGAAGAAGAAGAGAATCCTTTTGCGGATATATATGAGTACATCGAGGATACAAATGCCATTATCCCTCCACAAGTTGATGTTGCTAGCTTCATGGTGGAACATGGTTTGATCATAATACTTAAAGCAGAGGGGGTTATTCAGAAATTCTACCGATGATGATCCGACACAACATATTAGAAACTTCTTGGGAGTATGTGTGATGCACAAGTAGAACAACGTGTCAGATGATGCCCTAAGACTGAGGGTATTCAAGTACTCATTAGTTGAAGAAGCAAGGAAATGGATTCAAAATCTGCCACCTCATTCCATTCACTCTTGGCCTGAGCTCGACCGAGCTTTCCTAGCTAAATGGTTCCCACAAAGCAAGAAGTCCAAGCTCAGAGATAAAATTTTCTTCTTCAAGCAACTACCGGGGGAACACCTACATGAGGCATGGGATCGATTCAAGCTATATCTAGTGAGGTAGCCTAATCATGGTTTTCCGGACACAATCTTGTTGGAGACGTTTTACATGGGTTTAGATGCGTTAAACCAATCCATAACCAAAAATGTGGTGGATGGATCTTTTATGTACAAAACATTCACAAGGGTCACAAATTCTTGACAAGATAGCAGAACATAATCAAGCTTGGCACTCGGAAGATACCACGGGTGGAATTGCATACGATACTCCCTATTTGACCAACATGATTAAGGAGAACCAAGAGAGAGATCAAGTAATTACCGAGCTTGCCACCAACTTTAATGTGTTAACCAAGATGTTCACTGAAAGCCAACCAAAAAAGGTAAATGTTGTGGAAGATGTGCAACTCTTGTCAAACGAAGATTGCGAGGAAGCAAATTATGTCCATAATTCTCAAGGCGGTTACCAAAGACAATCCTACCAAGATCCCGGACAACAAAATAAATGGAGGCCTAACACGCAAGGGCAAGGCCATCAACAGCGGCAAAATGATCAAGGTGATTCTTCAAGTCAAGGTAATTGGAGTAACAACACCAACAACTATTATAACCGGAGTTCAAACCCCTATGTTTCACCAAAGGGGAAAAACTCTAACTCTTCACATTGGAAGGAAAGTTCTTCAAATGAGTCCAAATTGGAGAACATGCTTGAAAGAGCATTGCAAAATCAAGAAAGAAATGACACTTCAATGAAGAACATGGCCGAACTTGTGGGGTCACACACTGCATCCATACAAAACTTAGAAATGCAAATGAGAGATCTATCAAGAGAGCAAAATCCGAAGCCAAAAGTCGCACTCCCAAGTGACACAATTGCAAACCCAACAGGTAATGAGAGTGGACCGACTTCTCATTGTATGGCAATCATAACTCGAAGCGAAAAAGTACTTCAAGGAGAGAATGAACAAATGGTTGAAGTGAATGATCTTGAACAAGAGGTTGAGGCACAAGTTGAGGTGCCAATTGTTGTTGAAGTTAAAAAGCTCCCAAAGGAAGTGAAAGTCCAAGAAGTGAACCGTGAAGAGGTCAAGGAAAAGGTAAAAGAGGCACCAAAAGCTCTAGCACCAATTCCTAGACCTCCTCCCCCTTTCCCTCAAAGACTTTCTAGGAGGGTTGATGATAGCAAACTCGAGAAATTCTATGACATTCTCAAGCAATTATCGATGAACATTCCATTTATGGAAGCATTTCAAGAGATGCCGGATTTTGCTAAATACTTGAAGGACTTGATCACCAAGAAGAAAACCACCAAGAATGAAGTGGTAAATGTGACTCACCGGGTTAGTTCCATCATTGCAACAACTACTGTTCAAAAGAAAGAAGACCCGGGAGCCTTCATCATTCCATGCACTATTGGGTTGTGAGATTTTGCAAGGTCTCTTTGTGATAATGGGGCTAGCATCAACTTGATGCCTCTTGCTATTTACAAGCAAGAGGGGTTAGGTATGCCGCGGCCTACAAGCATGAGGTTGCAAATGGCCGATCGTTCAATCAAGAGACCGGTGGGGATCGTTGATGATGTCCTTGTGAAAGTGGGAAAGTTCCTCCTTCCCGCTAATTTTTTGATCCTTGATTGTGCTGTTGATAAAGAAATCACTATCATCTTGGGGAGACCATTCCTTGCTACCGGAAGAGCATTTATGGATTCGGAAAGAAATGAGATCAAGTTCCGAGTTAATGATGAAGAGGTAACCTTTCAAGCAAGTAAGGGTATGAAGTTTCCACATTCATATGAGAGCATCTCAGTCATTGATGTCGTTGATGAGGTAGAAGGCGAAATTGAGATGAAGATGGAAGAAGAATGCCTTGGTGAGGCTTTGGCGGCTATATTGGTGAATTTTGATGGTGAAGACATGGAGGAGTACATGGAATCGGTGAATGCATTAGAAGGATGTGGGTCCTACACTTATGCACCACAGAAACTTTCTCTTGACTTAGAGAATAGAGCCACTTCCCCCACCAAGCCTTCAATTATTGAGCCACCACAACTTGAGCTCAAGACATTTCCACCGCACTTAAGGTATAAATTTCTTGGCTCTAATGATACCTTACCGGTAATCGTTTCTTCTTTGTTGAATGATATGCTGGTAGATCATTTATTGGATGTCCTAAGGGAACACCGACAAGCCATTGGTTGGACTATAGTGGATATCCGAAGAATTCCCGCCGGAATTTGTGAGCACAAGATACAATTGGAGAAAGAAAGTAAACCTAGCGAGGAGCATCAAAGAAGGTTAAACCCTTCCATACAAGAGGTGGTGAAGAAATAAATCATCAAGTGGTTAGATGCCAGGGTAGTCTACCCCATTGTCGATAGTTCTTGGGTGAGCCCGGTGCAATGTGTGTCGAAGAAAGGAGGCATGACCGTGATCTAAAACAAGAACATTGAGCTCATCGAACTGTGACTGGATGGCGAGTTTGTATGGATTACTGGAAGCTCAACAGTGCTACTTGCAAAGACCATTTCCTTATTCCTTTTATTGATCAAATGCTTGATCGGCTAGCGGGAAGGTCATTCTATTGCTTCTTGGATGGATAATCTGGCTATAACCAAATCAATATCGCCTTGAAAGATCAAGAGAAGACAACATTCACATGCCCATATGGGACTTTTTCCTTTAGCCGTATGCCATTTGGGTTATGCAATGCCCCGGCTACCTTTCAACGGTGCATGATATCAATCTTCTCGGACATGGTTTTGAAGATTTCCTAGAGGTATTTATGGATGACTTCTATGTAGTGGGTGATTATTTTGAGCATTGTCTTGACAACCGTAGGCAATGTGAAGAAACAAACCTTGTGCTAAACTGGGAGAAGTGCCACTTCATGTTGGACGAGGGCATTGTTTTCGGCCACAAAATTTCCAAACAAGGTATAGAGGTTGACCGAGCAAAGATTGAAATCATTTCCAAGCTTCCTCCACCCACTTCAGTAAAAGGTGTCCGGAGCTTTTTGGGGCACACCGGGCTCTATAGGCGTTTTATCAAGGACTTCTCCAAAATTGCAAATCCCATGTGCAAGCTCCTTGAAAAAGATGCAAAGTTTGTATTTGATGAGAAGTGTCTCAAAGCTTTTGAGGAATTGAAAGAAAACCTCACCATGGCACCTATTATTGTCACACCCGATTGGTCCCTTCATTTGAACTCATATGTGATGCCAGTGGTGTGGCTATTGGGGTGGTGCTTGGTCAACGACATAACAAAATCCTTCACCCTGTCTACTATGAAAGCAAGACACTCAATGGTGCTCAAATGAATTATACTGTGACTGAGCAAGAACTTCTTGCCATTGTCTATGCTTTTGAAAACTTTCGGGCCTATTTGTTTAGTCCAAAGTGATAGTTTACACCGATCATGCTGCTTTTCGCTATCTTATGGCGAAGAAGGATGCCAAACCAAGATTGATTCGGTGGGTCCTGTTGTTGCAAGAGTTTGACTCTGAAGTCAAGGATCTAAAAGGGACGGAATATCAAGTTACGGATCACCTATCTAGGCTTGAAGAGGCAAGGAGGCCAAAAGAGAACCTTGAAATCAATGATGCCTTTCCAGATGAGCACATATTGGCGTTGTCTAGCACGTTCGCTCCTTGGTATGCCGATATTGCTAACTTTTTGGTTAGTGACCTTGCTCCCGATGGATTGGAAGCCTATCAAAAGAAAATGTTCTTGCGGGAGTGTAGGCAATACTATTGGGAGGAGCCCTTTTTGTTCCGTATTTTTGCCGACAACATCATTCGGTGGTATGTTCCGGAAGATGAGGTAATGCCAATTCTCAAGGCATACCATGAGTCCCGATTGGGGGCCATTATGGAAGAAACCGGACGGCAGCAAAAGTGCTTGAATGTGGCTACTTTTGGCCATCAATCTATCATGACGCAAATCAAATGGTTAAGTCATGCGATTAGTGTCAAAGACAAGGGTCAATTTCTAAAAGGCATGAGATGCCTATGAATTTTGTAATGGAGGTCGAGATCTTTGATGTGTGGGGAATCGACGTTATGGGTCCATTCGTGAGCTCTTATGGAATAACATACATCTTGGTGGTTGTGGACTACGTCTCCAAGTGGGTTGAGACAATCGCCATGCCCAACAATGAGGCAAGGAGTGTGACCGCATTCTTGAAGAAGAACATATTCACGTAGTTTGGTACGCCCAGGGCCATCCTTAGTGATAGTGGTTCTCACTTTTGCAACAAGGCCTTCACCGGGCTGCTAGAAAAGTATGGCATAAAGTAGAAGGTGGCCACACCTTATCATCCTCAATCGAATGGTCAGGTTTAAGTTTCCAACATGGAGATTAAAAACATCCGAGCAAAAACTGTCAATGCAAACAGGACTGGCTAATCAAGGAAACTAGATGATGTATTGTGGGCATATCGCACAGCATTTAAGAACCCCATTGGCACCTCACCGTACCAGTTGGTTTTTGGTAAGGCGTGTCACTTGCCTGTGGAGCTTGAACACAAAGCCATGTGGGCTCTGAAAAAGTTGAACCTTGACTGGGCCGAAGCTGCTAACCTAAGAATGACACAACTCAATGAGATGGAACAGTTACGTCTCCATGCCTATGAGAATGCAGCCATGTATAAGGAGAGAATGAAGTTTGTTCATGACAAGAAGATATTGAAGCGGGAATTCAAATCCGGTGACTTGGTTTTACTCTTCAACTCAAGACTCAAGTTGTTTCCGGGCAAACTCAAATCCAAATGGACTGGCCCGTTCAAAGTTGTAATTGTGTCCCCTTATGTTGCTATTGAATTGGAGTCGGAGGACGGGACTCGAACTTTCAAAGTAAATGGCCAACGGGTTAAGCATTACCTTGGCACCACAGGAGAAAAGCACCTGGTAGAACAAATTGCTCTCAAGGATAGTCCTACACCAACCACTGAGTAGCCCAAACGAGACCGACATTGTCATGCCGCGACGTTAAATCAAGCGCTTCTTGGGAGGCAACCCATATATGGTAACACTCTTTTGTTAGTTTTTCATTTATGTAGGTTTAGTTGTTATTGTTGAGAAGGTTGACGTGTGTGTTAGAATGCAGGTAGTCCAAAATACCATGAACAGGGTGCAAGTACTAAGGTAAATGAAGGAAAGAAGGGTCTGTGTTTTGTGGCAACTAAACACAGTCAGAAAAATTAGCAAGATAATTCTGCAAAAATGCGGTAAGGTTTCAGATTTTGCGGCCCGCATAACAACTATATGACCGCAGAAATCGTACTTGCCCCCCGCAAAATGCTCAGGTATAACACATTAAACCTTCTGCATACCTTCACTCTCACTCACACACGAACACTGTACAACACACACAAAATCAAAAATACAAAAACAAAGAGAACAGAAGAAAAGGCCAAAAACATTTGAATCACACACAAAATCACATAACAAGGATCAGCATTGCGGAAAGATTCACCTCGTTCACATCTCAAAATCAATTTTTATCTTGCTCAGACATCTGGTATGTGCTTCTCTTCCATTTTTCTCGTGGTTATGTTGCATAATATCACTTGCTTGAACTTATTTCCTCCCCCTTCCTCTCAAATCTTTGTTGTGGGGACTTGGGTGGGAGATTCGTGGGTCATTCGAGTGATAGGAGTCTTTTATGTGAGGGGTTTGACCAATTTTGACTGAAGAAGACAACCTTTGCGGTCCGCATAATTGGTTTGCGGTCCGCAAAGTTGCCACAAACTGGAACCCTAGGAGGCCTGGTACAATGTGCTTCTGCGATATAGTTTGGTCGTAAACTTGATTTGCGGATAGCAAAGCTTCCGCAAACATGGTCAGAAAAAATTACTCTTCTTGTGAGCAGGAATGCGACCATTTTGCGGTCCCATAACATACTTTGCAATCGTTTTTGCGATCGCATAATTGTTTTCCTCCTGTGTGTTGTAATTCTGCGATGTGTTTGCGGTTCGCAAAGTGGTTATGCGATCGCATAACCCATCGCAAAAAGTTGTTTGTTTCATTCAATTTCTCTCAACATGACTCACATGCTATGTCATTGACAGGAATGGCACCAAAGAAGTCTATCTCATTATGATCACCTCCCGCTCGAGGAAACAAACGAGTTGCTGCCTTGTGCCAACAAACCCAAAAATAAAAACGCCCAAGGCCTGAGATAGCCCGAAACACTTCTGAGCACTCCTCCCAGTTTGAAGAGGAGGAGGCACAAACTGATCTCATGCCATCTGTTGACTTGCACGCTAAAACACGACGGAAGAGTGGGGAAGATCTTAGATTCTAGAGTTGGAGCGCATTGGACCTCGTTCTAACCACTTTTCAATATTGTGCTTGGTTGGTGACACGAGAATTGATCCATTCGGGCCTATGGAAGAGTCAATAGATGGGCAACAAAGTACATATATTCTGAAATTTGCAATGCCAAGGAGACAAAACGACATCCCTTACTTAAAGGCCAAGAAGTGCAAGATGCAACATTGTTTACTTGGTTCTTTTGTATTCATACCACCACCCCAGGAACGTGATATTAAAATTGATGCAAAATTGGGGGCACAATTCATATCCTCAAAGTGGAAGGAAAAGTGGTGGAAGTGATGGCATAGTGCTGCGACGTTAAATCAAGCGCTTATTGGGAGGCAACCCAATTTTATTTTTTATTTTTACTTTTGTTTATTTATTTTATTGTGTAATTTTTTGTAGTATTATTTTTGTGTTTTGTAGGAGTAGGAGAATAGAATCTAAGCCAATAGGCGTGTGAAAAATCGAGCAAGTGGTTGAAACTAAGTGTGGGGTGCCCGCACAAAGGATCATACCTGGGAAAAGTCAGAGTATCCTGTGAGCTTCTAATGCTTCGTCCTTTGGCCTACCAAGGAGTCTCTTTTACCCTCTTGTTATTTATTATATGCATTGAGGACATTGCACAATTTTAAGTGTGGGTGAGGAGATTATCTGGATGATTTTGTGTTATCCTAGCTTAATTATAGTATTCTTTCTTAGCGTAGTGGTTTTTGTTTAAAATAAAAAATAAAAAAATGAATAAAAAACAAAAAATCTGAACTTGTCCCGACGATGGATTTTGTGGACAGCTTTCTTGGGGGATTAAGGTCCAATAAAAAATCCAAAAATATTTTTATTTTGTTTCTAGTTAGTTTTAGTTATATAATAATCCCCCTTAGTTTTTCTTTGTGCATCGATTCTTTTTCAGGGGATGTAACTTAAATTGGGTAAACTTTTTAATTTTTAGAATTAGATTTTTTGTTAGGCATAGTAGAAGAGGGAAAAGAAAAAATTTTGTGACTTGTTTGATACTAAC